AATACAAGCAAATTCTTTGAGTTTTTGAGAATCCACGTGGTATTAATTCCGCTCGTCTCGGATATTTTCTGTGAATATAGATAAAGTCCTTCTTTGATTGTATTAAGGCTTTTGGGGGTAGCCTAGTGGTTAAAGCGATGGCTCGTCACGCCGAGGACCCGGGTTAGAATCCCCACATGGGTACAATGTGTGAAGCCCATTTCTGGTGTCCCCCCGCCGTGATGTTGCTGGAATATTGCTAAAAGTGGCGTAAAACCAAAACTCAGTCAGTCAGTCAGTCAATATTAAGGCTTCTGGCAAATCTTTGAGACAGGGATTTGGTGGTACATTTGGACCCAGCATTATATACTATTGCATGGATTGGTGTGTTACTGTCGATCCAATACAAGAGAAGAATAAACATGTCTTCCGGTTTTGAGTCAAGACAAAGGGTGATAGCACCGATAAATGGTTTGGGCAGATGTCTTCCTCGGCCCTCCTTCCTGACCTTATGTGGTATCATTTGATGTGCCACTTACACCAAGGTCGACTGCATTTGAGGCTATTAGAATGGTGGTGAATTTGTTCTAATATCCTAATTTTCACGCACAAGATGGAGTGATTTTCAGAATTGAAATGTTGATAGACACAATTGGAAACATTTCTGTTGATGACTGATCTATGCTGACTGAATCGTGTCGATAGTTTCTGTTGTGTCTCTCCAACATAAATCAATTCACAAAGAGCGCATTCAATGCGATATATGAGTTTTTCGTTTGACATTATAGGTCTGCAAAATGATTGTATGCAGTGTGTGTTATCTGTATAATTAGATTGTTGAATTCAGGGCCCGTTATCAAAATAGGACAGGATTTGCAATTTTTGTATCACATGAAGGACTGGATTGCTTTTCTTCTCGACACACTGCAAATAAACTCGTTTAGAGAACCTTACTTTTATAAACTGAGCCTGTGCCGATTTGATATGGCAGTTCGCTTGGTTGGTAAGTTGTACCGTCCAGTTGTACTAAACCATCAACAATATCAACATTGAACTTGAGATTGTATCCATAATCCTCGACTCGCTTGCCGCACCAGACAAAAGTAATATGTGCAAATGTGGAAAGTACACTTCCGTCAGGAGAGAGTGAGTATGGTGTTACGTTGCCTGTAGCAATTTTCCAGCAATGTCACGGCGGTTGACAATGGAAATGGGTCTTACACATTTCTCCGGGGCGAGGAGCAAACACTTTAACCACTAGGCTACCAGGCCGTTCTCTGTGATGAAGTGCCTCTACGTTAATCAAACCACGCCCTCCCATTATAACCGATAAGTATAAATGATTGAGGGGAGAGCGAGGATGAAGGCATCCATTGGCTGGTATGATTCTTCGTGAATTTGTCATTACTCTGAGTTCCCTATTTCTTCCAATCAACAACATCGAAAGAATTTGAAATGACGCTGACAGCATAAGTACTTGTGAATTTGACTTTTTGTGCGCGCTATAAGCTCAGAACTTCTTATTTTCTAAAGTCAGCATTTGTATTCTCCCGGAAGACTGTGCTCCTGGAGTTTGTATCCATGCATCCCTAAGTACGCATAGGCCTGTACGTCATCGGGATGATCAATAACTCCCCCTCCAAGTAAACTGAGTGGTCCTCCTCCTTCTGAACATTACCTTCTCAGATGGAGATTGTTGCATTGGAAAAGGACTCGAAAAGGAGAATCTGTGGGTTTCTTCAGTGTAGTCAAGTTCAAGGTCATCCATGTAAGGGAGGTAAGTAAGAGGAGTTGTCGATAATATCAGGATGATACCTTCCTTCCTTTTAGTGAGCAAAGAAAGAATTCAGTGACAAAAAGAAAACCAATGACTTAAAGAGTCATCGGAAATACACTTATAAAATACATGTTTTGTTATTGTTAGTTTTAGTATTCCGTTGAAAAGTCCTTGTTCCATGGGCATTTCTCACTAAACCTGGTGAATGTAGCTACATTTCTGTTGTCATGGGCTCACGACAATCTGAATTGTAGTGAGAAAACAATATGTGAAGTGTAATATGTATAGACTGATATGGAACACCTGCACAGGACATTTAGACAAGGAACAGGCATGAACCCCTACGGGCCCCACTTCATCTGACCTTTTTTCTTTATGGAGAAACATGTCAGAATTTCTGCTAGGATCAGCCAAGTGAAAACAAAGGAAATAGGTCAAGAATTTTTCTATCAAGTAGGCCTTTTCCTTCCACTGATTAACCTATCTGCCCTACATATATTGAAATATTCTAGCAGCACATGCTTTTTATATATTTAACAAAGTTTGAAGTACAATCTCGCATCCGCTTTTTAAAGAGATTTCAAAGAGCGCCATACTACTCTTGCACAAACGTTGTTTGAGGAGGGTTAAAAGATGCAAAGACGAAGTAAGGCTTCAGTGTCTGCCACATATACCTTTTTACCGTGTCTGTTGCCTGGTATTGTGGGCAGTGCATCGTCATAGGAGCGGAAGGTCGAAGGTTCGACACATACAAGTGCAACATTCTTTTACTCGAAGTTATACTTAATATTCTATTCACACTTTGCTAAGCAACAAATCATTGATTCAGCAGAAAACTATGATGTGGGGTCAAATTTGGTTTAACTATCTAAGCCTATTGTAAGCATGGATCTAAGTTTTCAGCATGTCATTTCATCTGGTGGTTCCCATACCTACTATTGACAGGTGTTGTGTACTTATCAATGACCCGTGCCATGATTTGCAAAATGGTTGATTGGTGCCATGAAAACCATTTTTATGGTTACTCATGTATCAAGTGCATACGGCTAGCTTAAAGTGGTTGCTTTCCTAAAGATGTGTTACCATATCATTATTTATCCAGTTTTAAATGGATACAAGTTAAAATTATAAGTCTACGTTTAAGTAAAGTTGCGAATGTTTTGTGATCCTTAGCAAAGTGTGAGTAGTATATATATGACAGGGCATGTCATTTTAATGTGGGAGAAAAGGCTATATTAACACAGTAGGGGTCGTGAGCGTCGCCACTGTGATAGACATGAGTAACGGTACTGTCTTACCACTTATAATTAGGGTCCCGTGAAGATCCGGGTTAGAATTGATCTTCAGCAGCCTATGCTTGTCGTAAGAGGTGACCTATGCTTGTAGTGAGAGTGAGGGGAAGTCATGTCATTGTCATAACGACCCGTTAAGATCCGGGTTAGAATAATTATTGGTCTTGATCAACCCATGCTTGTCACAAGAGGCGATTAACGGAATCGGGTGGTCAGGATCGCTGACTTGGTTGACACATGTCGTCGTATCCCAACTGCGTAGATCGATGCTCATGCTGTTGATCACTGGATTGTCTGGTCACAAATTGGTTATTTACAGACCGCCGCCATATAGCTGTAATATTGCTGAGTGCGGCGTAAAACTAAACTCATTCACTTATAATCAGGAAGAATATGGGATCCAAACCCCAAAATCAGCGGATCCTGGTATTGTTATATGACGTAACTCTTCACTGTATATAATTTTACAGTTTAAATAAGTTACCCACGTCGTGATCGGATAAACACACAGCTGATTACAATGCCGAAACCAATCATGAAAGATAACATCATGATGACATTTGTGTTTTCGAAGTCTACAGGGCGCATGGAGCAAGAGTAAGTGAGTAACATTTAGGTATAAGTTGGGTACATTTTTCTGTATTTCACGATGTATTGCGGGTGGTTGGGTAGTTTGTTGGTTAATGCGTTCGCTCGTCATGCCGAAGACCCGGGTTCGATTCCCCACATGGGTACAATGGGTGAAGACCATGTCCGGTGTCCCCCGCCGTGATTTTGCTGGAATAGTGCTAAAAGGGCGTAAAACCAAATTCACTCTCTCACGATGTATCAGCCCGAAGTGAGGGAAGGAAAGAAGTTGTTCTACCTTGTTGATGAAATCTATACGAATTGAAGGTTTATGGCATTTAGAATAGCATGATAACAATTATAATATCAGCACATTTATTGCGTGTGTCAGACTACTTAATATACTCAAATCTACTCAATTATTTGATGTACCCATGAAGATCCGGGTTAGAATGAACCTTCAGTAACTCATGCTTGTCGTAAGAGGCGACTAACGGGATCGGGTGGTCAGGCTCGCTGGCTTGGTTGACACATGTCATCGGTTCCCAATTGCGCAGATCGATGATTATGATGTTGATCACTGGATTGTCTGGTCCAGACTCGATTATTTACAGACCACCGCCATATAGCTGGAATATTGCTGAGTGCGGCGGAAAACTAAACTCACTCACTCACTCAATTATTTGATGGATGCTGCGTTACATTCCATAATATAATCCTTACACTGTGAAGAGACGTATTTTCATCGTATTGTGTTTCGAATTGCGACATTTCGATGGAGATATATACTGTATCATAAAGGTGAGTACCGTTATAGCCCTTTCACACGTCACGGGGATTTCTTCTCCCCACGGGGGCGGTGGGGTAGCCTAATGGTTAAAGCGTTGGCTCGTCACGTCGAAGTCCAATGTGTGAAGCCCATTTCTGGTGTCCCCCGCCGTGATGTTGCTGGAATATTGCTAAAAGCGGCGTAAAACCAAACTCAGTCAGTCAGTCAGTCTTCTCCCCACGGTAAGGAGGGGGAGGGGCACTCACAGATAAATTAGTTATAACATTATGACACTCCATCCCAACGATATTCATCATCGGCCATTTTTTTGGGGGTGCAAACAAATAAAAAATAAGTTTCTCCTGTTTTAAAAAGTTCACAAAATCAGAAAAGTGACAATCTAATTATGTACGTAATTTGAAAATGAAGAATTCAAGAAAGTGATGAGAGCTGGTAATGTCTCCCAGTCGTCGCCATTTTTATTGGTATTCAATCCGGTTGCATGGGAACAGATGCGGAGTGATTAGTAGATTGTATCTCATGAATGGCGTCATAGCAGCATTACATCATCAGCTTCCTTTGACAACAAGTCGCACGGCAGCTGACAGAAGCCGACAGCATGGCCCCGGCGACTGCTGAATGGCTAGGAACATAATTGCGGTCGCTAATAGGACAATTTGTTACAGGGATCATTTGACGAGCTAGGTTCGGTTGAAAATCACAGGGCCTAATCGTCCATTCAAGTTTAACTATGGACGGAGTCTATGCATTATAATCAATCCTACCACCAGCTGAACGACATGAATATATCATTTGGCCTCTTTCTCACTGCACATCCGGGTCTGTGGAAACAAGCGAACTTTTCTCGGAGTCGCGTTCATCTCAACGTCTGCACACGCGCCGCATTCCGCTGTTCAAGGACAGTAGGATGACTTAATACTGGGAACTAGCAACGTTCACAAACTGTATTGGGCTGTGGACCCACGTAAGGACTGACGCCAGACGGTGTCGCCTATAGCTAGCTAGGTTGAATGAATATAACCCGGGTGGCGCCACGTTTCTGCTACGGCCCCCTGTGCCGCAACGGTGATCTAACTCAACCTCGGTGCCTGTTCAACGACAGTTCAGGTGATAACAAATATTACAGCTACGACTCCAAATATCGGAAATTTCCGTATAACCGCGTGTTTTTCTAAATAATCTGTTACACTTGTTCCATCGTCAGAGCGCCGAAGCGAAAAATCAATAATTTTCTCATTTTATATGCTGGAGGTCCACCAGGAGCTAGCTTTCAGATTCTGCGAGCCTGTCTCACTGCTGGAAGAGCTTGTTACCATCCACAGGTCGGTGTAGTGTTCTGGAAGCTTCCTGCGGTGCCGTTACTGGGGTACAAGCTACCCGTTCTCCCACCCCTGTGTCACCAAAGCCTCGAGTTTGGGCTGTGAATGGGGAATTTCGGCCAATACATCGAAACGAGTCATGGAGGCAGCGAGAGACAAAATGGCGGCTGAATGACAGCAACGGTGTTCAGTGAACGGTGCATGGGCTGTGATCGCTCGTATTGTGTATTCGCTTGGCTATAGACTTATTCGGCGACAGGTAAGTGGTTGTCCGTTCACAAATTTCACTGTACCGTATGTTCAAGTGATAGCTACATCTGTGCGGTTGATTATATAACACAATGAGTTATCAACCGCACCACGCACCAATTTACAGTGTAGAATTGCTAATTATGACACCTTATTAGACACAAGATGCACTTTGTTTCTATATGTGAGAGTATCTGAATTTTTGTGACCTCCATGTACGAACTAGATGATTTATTATTGCTCCTTGTCGAAATATCCAGTCGGTTTATATATGTCGAATTTTTACTAGAAGCTTCTAACTTCCGGTAGATGAAAGGAAGCGGTTAACGTGTACGGAGATTAAGGGGTGAGGCCCAGCCCGTGGGCAGGGGTAATTGTTGAAGACTCACACAAATTCACGTGACTTAGCAAGTGATTGAAACAAGCCCTCAACCTTCATCGTCACAGATGCAGTGTTTTATAATTCATACACTCATCTTCCACCAAACTCTCTTAAGAGACCAAGGTTTCTGGAGGTTTTATACGGAGGTGGAGCTACTCCTTGGAGTTCCTGTTCATGGTCCATGAACCAGTTATTGTATACAAGACAGACAGGCCAAGCCCTGAAGCATTTGGTGAACGTGGACGATTTATGTAGGCATCTGCCACGTGGACGGTCTGTTAGACTGACCGATGTGCTTTGTTGGGATGAAACGGGATATGGACAGGGTCACTGGAGCGGATCCTGCATCATGATCTCGTGTTTCAGATGTTGCCCAACAGGACGATCTCGCACAGAGAAGTCAAAGACCTTCCTGCGTGGAACACACGAGGTTGAGCTTCAGCAGAGAGGACTCTGTCCCATTCGGAATATAAGTGACATCAGTAGGGATACTGGTACTCTTCATCACACGTTCAGACAAACCCTGTATTGATCGGGCTTGCTTGCACACTCTGTATCTATGTAATGGAACAGCACCATTCTGTGCAAGGCAGTACATACAAAGCAGACAGTCAGCAACATCGAAGCGCAGCGCGAAATGGCCTCACGTCGAGCTTTTGTTCCTCTAACCCTTTCACGCCCTTGAAACATCACCCAGAACACAAAGATGTTACACGGGGTATTTGTAATATTTAATATATTATTTATATATTTCACGGTTAGTGATTCGCGTCATCTGGACAGCTGTTTTTCGTCAGGAATCTAAAGCTGCTTGGACGCCGAATCTAAAACTTCGGAAATGACGTTTCCGGGTTGATGTGTGAGCTCATTAAACCATACGGTTACTCGTCTTTCTATCATTTGGACAGAAGACAATACTGTTCTATCACGATAATAAAAAGACACTATTTATGTTGAAATATTACTGGGAGGACTTCCACTTCCGCCAACTTAACATGAACCCCGGAATTGAACCCTAGATGTCAACGGTCAAAACTAAACACGCTTCTATGCTGGGTATTATTCGAAATTCATCTTCGGAATTGCTACAACACTCATGTCGTAATAAACTTTGCTATTTGCCAAATGAGAGAAATAGATTCAGTATTTTCTTCTCTTATGCTAATGGCGTGATTTGATATTTGGTTAGAAGACACCGTCAGCTTATTTAAATTCATTGAAAGGAACCATTTATTATTTGAATAGTCATATATTTCACATCTAATTTTAATATTAGACAGGCATTGGTTTATGATAACCACTTTAGTTATGTAAACTTTATGATGTTATTGATTATGAAATCAACCAAATGAGTATGACGCCACTGCCATTTAATTTTAAACAAATGTAATTAAGGTGCGACAAGTTGATAAGCTGACAATCCAGACACCTCGTGAACACTAATAAGAACTTCTGTATTAACAATTACTTGATAATATGGATTTTTAAACTTCGGCATAAAAGCCACCGCCAGGGTTAACTCTGTGAACACAAAAGGTTTTGTTAAAGTTATTCATATTTTTCATCCGTGATCACTCACGTGCGTAAGCGTGCAGCATATCGTTCATATTACCTGTACCACACCTGTGCTGGCGCTGGTTCACCTGCGTGAACATCCAGCGAGACAGGTGTGACCTGTAATATAGCCACTTGGGATCATCTTGCGGAATGTAATTGGCTTCACTCATATTATACGCGAATCAATAGCAGGCTCATTTCTGTCAATCATGTGTCAGGACAGGCACAAATCAATCAGGCCTTGCATTTACAATATGTTGGAAATATTTGACATGTTGGAATTGTACGATCTTTGATTATTCTTGATATTCTTGTGTTATAAGAATTATTATTGAAACATTGTTATTTTTATAACAATATGTTGTCAAATTATGGATAATTTTAATGTACGTGCACCAACTAAAACCGTTCATTTACATATCATAAAGTCATATTTACGTCAGTGACATATGTGTGAATATACGGAAATCGTTATCCGATTTTTTTTGTGGTGGTCGAAGATTCAAAATGCCTCGTCGTTCGATATCTATGAAATGCTGTCTTTAATCGATATGATAACTATGTAGACGTGTTATATTGATATCATGTTTGTGTTTGAAAGTATGGATTTCAGATCAACAAAGCGTGAGAGATAGGTGCTGATGTATGGAACAACTGAGATGAATGAGACACCTGTTATATTCAGCTTTGGGTTTTACGTTAGGATGGCATCCATTCGACAGAATGAAATCAGTATTATGTAATTGATTACTTAAATTAAATTTATTAAAATTTTAATCTGGTTCAAGGTTCCACATTTCTGTCAACAAGGGAAGGGTAGATTCAACACTTCATACGTGTGAACTATTCGTGCTATTCAAGGAGAATTGTGGGAAGTTCATGAAATAAAACAGACATTTCAACCTTACAACTTATCGTATTACTAGAATGAAAAACACAATGAACACGGTCTATATATAATATACAATTATAAACAGTTAACAAATGTTTCATTTCTTCACATAGCTGCCATTGTTGCGTTCTATTTAATGCATTTAGAACCACACGAAAGCCAACCAAACGCCTTCACAGATCATTTTAGTTGACTCATAATATCCATCCATCATGAGGGCCAATGTTAGTCTCGTGATGGCCCTGAAAGAGTGTATATATTATTTGGAACAAATCAAGTGTGGGCTACCGACATCGTGACAAAAACATTATCTATGCACATGTGGGGCTACAATTAGTTGCAATAAGGCCCTAAATTAGATTCAGTTTCAAAATGAAATGGTTTCACCGTGAACCATGTGTGACTTCAAAGGCTACCGTCTCATCGTAACTGTGTCCAAATGAAGCTGATTGTTCACTAATTACATCTGTATTATCCGCGCATGCGCAACAGTGACATTGTTAAATTGCAGTACTAAATGAGTCAATAGAGGCGATGTAGGTTACGAGTTGCGAGCGTAATTATCGCTTCCTACGTGTAAACTATACGAGTTGCTGACTTATGATTTGATGGTTTGGAAAATCATAATGTGCGTTACAATATATATCTTTGCCTCTATACTCATTTAGGTGTGTGTGCGTGCGCGTGCGTCGTGCGTGCGTATTCTCCTAAACGAGAATACTGAGAGCAATTGACGTGGTATCCACATGCTATAGAAACAAACTCAGCTATCAAATGTGGCGTTAAAGTAGAAATATATTAAAGTATTACAAAAGAAACGAGTTGAGTGAGTGAGTGACCTTGGTTTAACTCCGCTAGTACAGTATTTCAGTTATATCATGGTTTTGTTAGCTTCGTGTGAGACGCAGGTTTCAAACTTTCACCACTAAAATGGGGATTACTAAGCAGAAATATTACTTTAACTAAAGGATTCCAATACTACCATACCACTCGAATTTTTTTCATCATAAATCTCCCTTGTAAAATATCCTTTTTAATGGCGACTGAGGTGGGTGGTGGTAAGTTTAAACCGTCTCATGGGTTCGAATCCAGGATATATTTTTTGTCAGCGCAACACCATGGCTCGTAGCATTTCACTGTAGTTGAAACCGTTCTACATATACCGCCAGCGACCGCTGAAACAGTGTTCCTGGGTTTTGTTTAATACAGTCAAATACCTCTGTGTCAAAGTTCAATGGACCAAGTAAATAATTCGAATTATCCTAGGTTTGATACAACCGATATGATGAATAAAGGAGGAATATGCAGTGGACAAACTTGTAGTTCGAGACAACGGTATGTTCGACTCATTAAAATGCGACTCAAAGGATGTATGTAATATTTTAATTTATATATTTGTATTCACCATTATATTGCAACGCATAATGTCATATTCAAAGATTCAGATTAGATTGTACGTAAGAGTCAAATAGTGATGGAAATTAAATGAACAAATCACTGAAAATCCACGACAAACCCATTAGGTGATCTTTAAACATTCTTCTTCTTCAAGTGAACGATGAATCAAGTTCGTTCTTAAAAGTTCACCTGAGATACCTTTTTCAAATTGTTTTCTTTAAATGACATATTTATCCAAATGAATCAAAAGAGCTCCCGATTCTTTCGTATTACTATAGTTAATGATGCACCGTGACGGACTAGCTTTTGTCATGTAAAAAAGATCATACAAATACGAACCTGTGGCAGTGTATGCACTGCCGTCTACGCTACCAACAAACGTCTCGAATGTTCTAATGATGGAATACCGAATCCAGCGAGATGTTGCGAAGTGCCATTCCAGTAATCGACCATTATTAGCGTTCAGGTTCTCATATTAGTCATCCCCGCTGGAACCATGTCGTCTGCTTGTTTGTCTTGTCTGAAGGTGAAGGTCACGTATTTGTTTGTCTCTGTGTAAAAAAAAGATGTTACGGAAAATCTACAACAGAGATTGTATATGGCAGCATAATGTTTTGTGCATAAGGAGACTTTAAATTGGCACCTTGGCATCGTTTGAATTTATAGCCTGTAATTTCATGCAGACGTTTTCAGAGATCTACGACTTTTTTTGGGAGCAAATAAAGATATGCATGCATTGAAATGTCGGTGATTAAGGTTTGAGGTTAAAGGTACAACAGAA